GAAACTTTGCACTTTTAGAAAGAGGCAAGGGCTTGACTTGATACACAAACTTCCAGAGAGACAATAGGGCTGATGGGTAGTTAATCAGGTCTGTTATCTTTAATCTCCATATAGTGTTGTTAACGATGATGTTACCTCTGGAGGCACAAATCCACAGTTTGAGAACTGAAACTAAGCATCAGAGAGATGCTTACTGGGATCTGCAAGGCTGAGCACTGAGTCCCATTAGGTAGAGTGGTTTTCTTTAATTTTTACTACTCTATAGAAGAGCCTCTGGGAACCCCATAAGATTGGGCCCCTAATATAGTTCATGGCCTGTTGTGACTTTTTTATAAAACTTTTCTAAAAAAGTTACATGCATATATCGTCTCAAATCATATATAATTAGAAGTTAAAATCTTTGCTTCATGATATCTTGGAGCTGTAACACATCTTAAATTAAAACTATCTTTATATAGGTTTTTTTTAAAGCATCTTAAAAAATAAAATAAAACTTAAATTAAAAAAAAATTAATCAATCAGATTTTTTTAAGTGTTGCTTTTTATCCACCCTGCATCTGCCTGCAGTATCAAACAGGTATCCTCAAGAGAAAGGAGATCAAAAGCTGGTATCAGTGTCAGGATGTAAAATTACTGGACCGAGTAATGACAGGCTATGCTATACTCATCATGCTCCAACCTGCAGCCCTGCCAGACTGGTACTGCGCAAAGGTGGTTATAAAACTGATAAGGACAACGAAGTAAGAGGAACAGTTGTAATAAAACAAAATTGAGGTATTGTAGCCACAAATTCAGGAATAGGAGCTGTATTTTTTCCCTGTCTAGCTTGGCCTACGCAAGTATGCAACTTGACAAAAGTTACTGCTGCTGTGTCAGTAAGAATCCTTGTCAAGCCCTCACTGGAACAAGTTTAAGCTGCTTAATTGTAGCAAGCATTTAAAAGGCAAATCTGGATCCTTCTGCTAATGACAGCTTTGGTCAAACTGCTATTCTTATAAGTGAATAGGGGAAGGGCTGTATGGGAGACTTTTTACATTTTTTTCTTATTTTCAAAAATATCTTGTTTTTCACTTACTAGCAAAACTGTGCACGGTTTACTAATTTTCCTTGCCACAAATAACCATGGAGCAACTGAACTGTTTGGAAATCCAAGGTTTATTGCATTACTCAGTGTTACACTGCCCTCTGCTGCTGAATATGCAACTACTGGAATGCAATTTTTCATTTCTTATAGCGAAACAAGCTTTGAGCAGAGAATAAACCCGGGTACTGTAAGTATGAGGATATATGTTAAATTTGGAAAGATGCATAGACAATATGTGGGACAAAGTGTTCTACATTTGGTTGGGAATCATAAGGGCACCTTATTGGTTGGTTCATATGAATTGATCAAGAACTACATAAACAACTGCATTCTTAATCACAAGAGGAAGTTTCTGAATAAAGAATTCTCCATCTTCTTACGAAAAGTAATTTATTTGTATAAATACATTGTTAGATTTGGCAAAATAGTGGAAGTCAGCTTCTTAACACGCTGTGGTCTTAATTCAGCAGAGAATTATGCCTGTGCTAAATTTTACACTCTGTGCGTAGCATCTGTATAACCCATACGACTGCTGAAATGGTAACAGGGACTAATGCACTGCAACCCCCCCCCCCAAATCTAGGTGAGGCAGGGCTTTGTAGCACAATTTACTAAGAAGCACTGAAACTCAGAATGATTACAAAGATTACTGTTTCTGCTTTAAGTCAAGATATTGCTTGTGCATAGAGCAGACCTAGTTCTACTGCTCGGGCCTAAACTTGTCATTTGTTCATCTGAGTAATCCTCAGTAACCCAACTAAATTCACTAGTCACTTGAAGAAAGCCCAATTATTAGGGGTCTACTAAACTCGACGCAGTGGCCAACCAATTTTGTGGGCAGATCCTGGGGCCAGCTGCCATTTTCATGGGCTGAATGAAGCAGGCTCCCCATGCCTCTGATTGGCCAAGGGGCCCCAGTAGTCTCGCCCCTCCCTGCAGATTGCCAATGGCCCCAAACCGCCACTTAGATTGCAATGTGTCAATGGTTTCTGCAGGCTTAAACCCCGGGTAAGCCATTGACACATTATTAAGTAATCTAAGCAGCAGTTAATGGCTTCTGCAAGCCTAATCAGGGGATTAAGCCCCCAGAAACCATTAACTGCCACTTAGTTTGCTTGATAACACGTCAATTAATGGCTTCCACAGGCTTAATAAGGGGATTAACCCTGAAGAAGCCATTAATTGAAGTGTTATTAAGCAATCTAAGCACTTAATTAAGCTCTACAATTACATATCTTATTAAAATGGTTATGCACACCATGAATTGTAAGTAATACCACCTATGTACACTTTATTAACTAATACCAACTAAGCACTTACTTAAACTCTAAACTGAAATAGTTAATGAAAATAAAGCTATACACAACATGAATTATAACTAATACTAACTATATACACTGCATTAAAGACATAAAAAGGAGTTTACTGAAAGTGAATGCTAGCCTGGAGACAGACAGTTCATGCTAGCTATTAAATGTGAGCATGCTGCACCCAGCCACAGTCGCTGGATATGTTCTCTGGTCTCTGTAGGGTGAACACTTGTCCATACACTGAGATGGCACGCTCAGCACCCACCGAGTTCACTGGAACTGTGAGGCAGCAGCTTGCCAGGGAGTACAGGTGTGGAAACAGGTCACAGACAGAGCCCGTGAACACAGACACAGGTATCTGGCACTCTTTGATGAAGTTCATGTACGCAGCATGTTGGTTGTCATGCTCTTATTCCCCTTCCCAGGATGGCATTCAGTAGTCAAGGGTCACAACTCAGAACAGGCACCTGGTTGGGGTCCAAACTGTGAACAGCGCTAACAAAGGGGTTGCCTTTTGTCTGAACTGCAGTGGCAGTGATGAATCATACCTGTAGTACTCATTCAGCTTCGCAGCTATTACCTGAAATGGGTCCCTTCTATGCTGGTTTTCACGATGACAGCTTGACAGTAATTGCAACACCCCATCTTCGACCCAGCTTATCAAATCCATCAGCTTGCTGTGTGCACGGTGGATCACAGCCTGCTAGCTTTCAAACCGCATCAGGAACTCCATGAACTGGGTGGCATTGGCAGCCACAAACATCACTTGATCTTGAATGTCAACTCGACCCAAGACATCACGAAGCTTAAGCTGGGTGTGATTTCCAGCTCCTTGCTCACCAACTGCTGGTAGTGCTGCATGTGCCTGACGTGGTAACGGACTGCGTTGAATCATGAATTCCACCATCTGATTATGGGCTCTAGTGGCAGTGGCACAGTGCTATAGGAGTCCCAACTTTGACTCCCTGTTCCAGACATTATAACCTAGACAGTGTTTGAAGGCTTTCTTGAAAGATGACACTAGGCTACCTACCATGGGGAAATGCATTTGCCAGACATCACTAACTAAGGACAAAATATGCACATTGCAGGTGACATGAACAGCTTTGGGCAGCATTCCTTGGAGCACATCAGAGAAAGCCTTTCATATGTACATAGCACTGGCACTATCAGACAGAAATGCTGAGATCTTGTTAAAGTCTATGCCATAGCTAACAATTACCTTCACGATGGCTTGAGATACGGTAGAAAAATTGACAGACGTGAGGTGGATTGGCCCAGTTTGAAACGCAGGCAGATCCTGGGCTGTCCAGCTCCCTGGTACAAATAAAATATGCAGCATGTAGTTATCTTGAAGGTCAGTGGCTTCATCAACTACAACAGAGGAGTCATACTTTGCAAATGTAGCCTTTGCAGACTGTACGTATGAAACAATCACTGCAGGGAGATGGTCTTGGCAAAGCTTGTTGGCATGTGGAAAACTGCCAGCATTTGGCACATTTTGATTCAGGGGTAGTCCCTTAACTTCAGGTGATCATGTTTCTCTAGCAGGATGTTTGCCACCACAGGAAAACACCGTCTCTCACCTTGCTAAGTTGCTTTCTGTGGTCCTTTTAAAAAGAGGGAGGACATGGTCACTTGCTTCTTGCTCTGACCTTCAGTTTCTGCAACAGCCTTCTGCTCCATGTGCACCTCAGACTCTAAGTGTCTACCTGTGCTGGTTTCTCGACACATCCTAAGTTACATTGCCGGCTGTACAGAAGAGTCTGTCTCCATCTGCATGCAAGGTCCCAGCAGGATACCGTCTTACGTGGTCCAGCGCCAAAACATATTTTGCTGTCTTAAAGGATTTCTTAGCGTTCATCCCTACTCCTCCTCAAGCGGCAGCATGCATGCTGCATGTGACCGCTTTAAAAGCCTGCACCAAAACCCTCCCAATTCCCTGGCTGGCTCCGGACTGTGCCTATGTCAGGGACTCGGCCTCTGATTTGCTCCCTCATCCCCCTTCTCCTCTCATTTTCAGGACTCCAGAGCCTCCTGCCCTTTCATCATCTGGCAGCTCCCTCCCACCCCACCCCAGCCAGCCCACCAAAAACATGCAGCCCGTGCTTTTTGGCAAAGCCCACCCAAAGTTGTGGTTTCTACAAAAATCACATAATCATGACTGTGGTAGATCCTTACCAATTATTAGTAATATTAGGATAAACAATAGCTTGCCTTGCTGAATTCTAAATACATCCCTGGGCAATTAATAACAGACAAATTAAAAAGCAGGGATCCTGCTTTACAACATTTGCTGTCAATACAAAATATATATTCATTACCTGATACAGTTATTTGATCTTTATCATGTTTACTTACTTCCAGTTTGAGCAAATTTTAAAATGGTGTTTTGCTTGTTGAAAAATCAGACATTAAAATTAGAATTCTAACACTTAACATTGTGATTATACTGAAAAATAAGTTAAAACTAGTAAATTTGTATATAATTGAGGAAAAACATGCAAATTGTGAATTTATATAATGTTTTATTTGATTTTTCATAGAAAAGTATTTCTCCATAAAAAATAGTAAGAAATGAAAAAAAAACTAAATTCCTAACTTACCAAAAGCACAATGTAGAATCTAAAAAAAACAAAAACAAAAAGAAAAAAATTTCAAGTCAGAAATGCATCAAAATTTTATTTCCTTAAACCACATTTATTTACTTTTATCATATTAGTATCCAAACTGGAAAAAAATACAGTGGGTTTTTCAAAGTTTGCACTATCTGTTGTAGTATTAAAGTGTTAGCATCTTGTTTTCCAGACAAATAGTTCAAGATTTCAACCCTGACGCGCTCTCTCCTTGTAAATTTAAGCAAGTTCCTATACTACTCTAACCCCAAGACAATAAATTAAAGAAGGGTATCTACACTCCACCTGGTGGAATAAAGTTATTCCATTACAAATGCAAAGTATATTAAAAATGAACAGTTAAACTGTTATTCAAAATGAGATGATGTTCAATAGACACTTCTCACTTCGTTTTATCAAACAATAATTCAATCACCAGTGACATTTAAAAAAAAAAAAAAAGCACTATACCTACCTCAAGCAGAGCTCCAGTTTGGAAGAATTTCAAGGGCTTTTCTATCGAATAGTAAAGATTATGATAGCTACCTTTAGCCAAATATGCTCGAACTAGGCCAACGGCTATAACAAGCCACCTGGAAAAAGAGAAGAGGAGACTGAAGACAAGTGGATATTAACCTGAACATGCGCACTGAGAATTAAGGCAGGCAAAGTCACCTGCTGACTAATAGAAATAGCCAAAGCAACTCATAAGGATGGGAGTAAAAGTCATACAATAGTGCACAACGGCCCACAGCCAGAAACTATGCAACACACAAATATCTGCCAACCTTCAAGTGTTACACACTTTTTGAACTTCATATATCTCTACACACACACACACACACACACACACACACACACACACACACACACACACACACCACCCCCCTTAACGTAGGCGCAAGGCCAAAAGTTTTCCCTTAATATTCTATTAAGCTATAAATTACTTATCAAAAATCATGCACACTGTTATAATTAAGGTTGATATCAAATTCCCATTATAAGCTCCTGTTAGAGAGATTTTATTACTTGGTAATTAATAAGCAGCAAAATCTGCACTAATGCTCTCTTACGGTACTACAGCAAACTGGATTTGCCCCCCCTACACAGCTTGAGTAGTCAACTCAGTTTCTCAGCAAGCACAAAGAATGAGAGAAGCAGGAACCTCACACACAGGGTTGAATCAGCTCATGTAAAAAATAAGCATTGTGAAGGATAGTCTTACTGGCATTACAGAAAGAAAATGGGTTATTTCATAGTAGTTTCATAGTTTCTAGGGTAGGAAGGGACCTGAGTAGATCATCTAGTCCGACCCCCTGCCATGCCAGGAAAGAGCACTGGGGTCAAACGACCCCAGCAAGGTGCTCATCTAACCTCCTCTTAAAGACCCCCAGGGTAGGAGCCAGCACCACTTCCCTTGGAAGTTGGTTCCAGATCCTAGCCGCCCTGACCGTGAAGTCGCGCCTCCTGATGTCTAACCTAAATCTACCCTCTACCAGCTTGTGACCGTTATTCCTGGTCACTCCTGGCAGTGCTCGGGGGAACAGTGACTCCCCCAATGCCTGCTGGTCCCCCCTGACTAGTTTGTAACAGGCCACTAGATCCCCCTTGGCCTTTTCTTGTGGAGGCCAAACAGGTTCAGGTCCCGTAGTCTCTCCTCATAGGGCCTGCCCTGCTGCCCCCGATCATGCGGGTGGCCTCCTCTGGACCCTCTCCATGTTGTCCACATCCCTCTTGAAGTGCAGCGCCCAGAACCGGATGTGGCCTGACCAGTGCCATTTCAATTTGTAGTGTCTGGAGTAGCTAAATAATTTGTCAAATACTAGCAGGGGTTGAACTAAAATAGCATTTTAAAATCGTGCGATGGTCTGCTACAGAGGTTCTCAACCTTCAAGCCATGCGGCTGTGTCATCCAGTTTGCAGGGCTCCCCCTGGGTCCAGAAATGTGGTGGTGGGCAAGCAGTAACAGTGTTATTTGCAGCTCCCCTGCTGACAAATTTCTGGACCTGTGGGAACCCCATGAGATAGATAACGTGGTCTTACACATGCATCCATGGGGCTGGAAAGTTGGGCACTACTGGTCTAACGTCATTCAAGTGCAGATCTCCCATCGACAGAACATTATATACTTATCTGAATTTTGTTTAAACAATCAACGCTTGGTATATTCACGGTATTGTCAATAGTGTGGCATCAGCACCAGTAACACTAGCTAGGTTCCCTCACTTTTAAACTTTTAGCAGCCCCAGAATGACTACTTCTAACTGTGAAAATGCGCAGAGCTACTCAGTTTCCGGTCTGCAGGTACTCTAGTAGACCACCCCCCCATAGTCTTAACAGCCCAGAGTTTACTACAATGTCAACAACAGGGCCGAAATGGGGAGTGGCATCATTATGCATTTAGAGAAGTTCACTCTTATCTGGCATGCGTAACTGAAGTACACCGTAGTATGCTGCCACTAACACCCTTCTTGGCTTCAGAACTCTTTCCGTAGGTGTTGAAGGCCTGATATTATAGGAGGTTAAAAAATAAATTACAAATACAGTATAAAGGCTAATATTTAGCTTTAAAATTGTAATAGGATATGTACATAAGGCACAGTATAAAAAGGCAAGACAATGTCTCTTAAGCCTCCAGTATGTAAACCCAAATAGATACGATCTCTGTAAAATTGCTATCTATAAAATCATGTTACATGCTCAAAAAGTTACTCAGTCTTGCCTTATCCTAGACCCAGCCTCAGCCCACAGACAAGAATGCAGCCTTCTTCCTCTTATTCCTGCAACAATTTAAAATGGATGTTCATCATGTTTGCATCTAATAAATTCAGTCATGGTAAAACTGTAAAGCCAGTATGAAGCAACACGTATTTTGCTGCTCCCTGTAAATCCCCCAACCATGAAGAACTCTGAAATCCGGGGACAATTGACCCCAACCCCGCTCTTGCAGTAGTATCTAGTATCATTGACTGTAGAGATTTGCTTTGAACTGTAACCTAACCCAACCCAAAAATTAAGGTCTTCCAAAATTTAAATTTGCTGTTCATCTTTTAGACTTTAAAGCTATAGCAGGGTAAATAAAATCAATTGTATGAAAAAAAAATCACCAGACATTTTAATTGAAATTACATTTTTTACTTAAATTATAATGAGTTTTTCCTTTAAAAAAAATACATCGGCTTAAAATGAAATTTGAATTTAATATAGCATAAGCTAAACTTTACATTTAATATAACCTATTCAAATAATTTAAATAACATATTTTATTTAATTTGACAGGTGGATCAACATACACAACCATCCAGTAATATGTGCTTTTGTGACAACAGAAGGCAGGAATTTTTTTCTCTCTCAGAAAAAAAGGTACATCAGGAAATGCCCATACTGCAGAATATTTAAAAATAGAAGCAGTAAATGCTATAAAAAAAACAAGTGTCATGTGTGTAGCCCTGGCACAGATAATGCTGCAAACGTAGCAAAGATGAGAAGAAACTTAGAAGAAGGCAATGAAGTAAACCTGAAACATATAACATATGGGTGCAGCGCTCACGTGATGCATCTTTTAGCCAAAGATTTAAGCACTCCAAGAATAAAGGAAAATGTTGAAATTGTACAAGACTTCTGTAACAACAACTGAAGAGAGCCAAGGGTGCCAAGCTAATCCTCCCCCAAGGTATATGCCAGAATTCAGTGGTTGACTGCTCTGAGCTAGTTATTAAGAACTGACCTATTCTGATCAAAAGAAAATCGCGACAAAATTGATGGACATATCACAGCTAAATAAAAAATGTAGACAATACGCTAAATGCACTAAAACCTATTTCCACAGCCTTGGATAAACTATAGCAAGATTGCAACTATGTGAATCCTGTCATAATTTGGAAAGAACTTCAAGAAATCTTAAAGCAAGAAACGTCCAAGAGCAAAGTTCAATTGCAGGCAGTAAAGGAGCGGATGGAACAAGCGCTAACTCCACCTCATTTGCTCACTAATATTATTAACACAATGTACCAAGGTAAATGCCTAGCTGGGGGTGTGTGT